GTATCCCCCCAAAAAGCATACAGTGATTTCTAGTTTGAATTGGTTTGAGAATAGTTCACACAGTTTTCTGGTGACATCTATAAGATCAATATAGAAATGGTAATGTTTGTGAGATTCAGTAGGTTCTGTTTGAATGTGTTCAGAATGCCCCCTAGCGGAGAGACTAAATAAATCCAAATGCCTGAGCTTTAGTGGCTAACACTTGACCTACAGCACCTTCTGAGGAAGTTTTTTCTTCCATCTATTCATCTCTTTCTGTCTCATAATCCCAGTCTTGCTAACACTGCTTCAGTGATTCACTACACTTCAGAATATTGATTAACCAATATTATTTTTAATAATTAACGTTTACAGGAAAACTCGTTTTCCTATTTTTAACTCTTCAGACTTAATGTTTGTTCCTTCCTGAAAAGAAAAGAGAAAAGAAATCCCGATATCTTAATTAATATTAAGTAGTAATTAGTATTTTAGCTAATGGAACTAAACAATACTTCATTGCTGAGTCATCTGGCTTTAATCATGAAAAACAATACAAATTTAAAGAATTTTCAGGTGTTTTGTGTGTGACACAGTAGCTTACAGTATGGTTATAGCAAAGACAGATGTAGAAACTGAAAGATGGGCATCACAAATTATTGTATTCCAATTAGAAGACGCCATTTAGCCCATCTAACCCATTTGGTAAAATATTTGACAAAGCAAATACTTGTCAGGAATATGTTTAGACTTCTAGACATTTTTAATATAGAGGTTATTCACCGTACATGATGAAATGATTTGAAGTATTTTATATCGGAATATTTTTTGAAGAATAATTTTCATTATTTTAAGGTCTCATTAGCCATCATAGCAAGTCATTATTATTGTTAAGAAAATCATTTTGAGAATATAATTTTTAGCATAGTAATCTAAAAATGAAGGGTAGAGACTATAGAGATGAAAGTCTATTTCTTTACAGAAAATGGGCTGAATTTTCCCCTAGTGAATTCTGTTTAAATCCAATGAAGACTCTCTTCAGGTATTCAGAACTGAAAACCATCATAAACATCACAGTGGACTAAAGCTCTGTAGAATTCTTCCTTCTCTCAGCTTTGGGAATGCCATTGTTCCATTTCATAAACCTCCTGCAATGAATCACATCATTCTTTAATCCTTTTAACCTTTTTAAAAAACTCATGTCTGTGTTTTCAACTAGAAATCTCCCCTCCCTCATCTGTTTTCTTCCAGATCGTTTGTTTCGTTTGTGCTGTGAGCGTTTCTTAATAATTCTTGTCCCAGTCACAATGGTGGTACAGTATTTCACTGATACTTGTAATAAAGGATATTTTGTTTTTGCCATAGTCAATTTGGGAGATATTTGTTACTGTGCGATAAGGTGTTTTTCTTGTTGACTCATGTTTTTCCTTGAATCGAGTTTCACAAACTTTATATAGACGCATGGTGCTTTATTGCAGGATTCTGGAAGTGTGGCGACGTCTCTTCTTTGACTTGACTTGTTTCTTTGTATAAACTAAGTGTGTGTGCCTGACGATTTAATCCATGAATAATTAAGAAACTGTTATGCAAAACGGTGTTACACAGTACAATGTGGACACAAACGCTCAAATGTAGACCAGCGTTTTATTTATCACTAATGTGCATTCAATGTAACATACCGAAGCATGCAAGTTGTCCAACAAACTAAACTGGCCAACTTGGGCTAGCAAGGTGGTCTCATGACTAGAACGTGTTGCTGAAATGTGTTTTCTGTCTTATTCTGCACAGTCTTCGGTTCTCCCCTGTTTCATCTTTAAACCTATGCTTTTTTTCCCTCTCCCTGCATTCTGTGTTCACCCCATGCAGGGCACACAGCTCATTTTCTCTGCCGCCAAGGAGCTAGGACATCTGTCCAAGTTGAAGGTACCGATGTGTGTACATGCACACAGTGTGTCTGGTTGTGCTTTAAACCACCTAGTGCATGTACAGTGTCTCCTTGTCTGGCATGTCTGGCATGCTTCTGATCTCCCTGCATGTGCACGATGTTGAATATGTTGTTCAAAGTTGATCAGTTAACAGTGCGTGATCAGTGTGTGATCTTCTCAATGACTTTGTGTTTAATGAATGACACATTTCATTCAAGCTTTGTTTGCCAGTACAGAATGTGGATTCTGAGTTAAGTATTATTTTTAGCCGAAACAGTAGTTTTATCTTTTGTGCTGTCGTTCTGCAGAACAACTCACCTTTTTTTTTTAATTCAGGCATTGTGTCTTCTGAACGAGTCAATGAGACATGAGGCATGTTAAAAAAACAGCCGCTCAAAGCATATTCGTTTTTCCGACTTCAATAACATATAGAATAGTGTAAAAATAATAAATTGCCATAAAAGCAGCAATGGTAGATCATGTCTAACAGTAAAGGGGTACTTGGTCCATATTTGGAGCAGTTCAAGGGATAAGTTTGATTCATATTAGAAGACTAAGATTCTTCTTGTTTTCCCTCTCTTCAACTGGAGTGTAATCACTAGAACTAAACAGTGCTGCAGGCTGGTTCACATATACAGTCCTGCCTTTACACAAGAGAAGGATACTGTACTGTATGTGGTTCTAGAGCAATGGTGCACAATGAATTTTGTGCCTGATTGTATCCTCCAGTTTAGCCCGCACTACCAGGACACTGTATGAAAGTAAGACATGCCAGACAAGTAATTTTAAAATATTCTGTAAGATGAAACATTTACTTTTACAATAAATCTTTTTTTTCTCCCAGAGTTCAATTTTAAAATGCATTGCGCAATGCTAACTAAGCATAGCAATGGTTGCTTAGTTTCTGTTTCGTAGTACTTTAAATGAGGGTAATCCTTTTGCATTGCATCCTACACAGCATCTTACTGAGAAATGTGTCATGTTATAGTCATGTTTTTATTCATTAAATCACTTTTAAAACCAATACGTCCCTGTACATTAAGATTTAATCAGTTGCTCATGTGTAACAGTCTTGCTATTTATGGCAACAGAAATAATTGATAGTGAATGAGCTGATCTGTTTTGTGCCTACACTTAATTACTCCAGGATTTGAAATTGATCATAATCGCAACGGAAGACTAAAATAGGTTCTTTTACATTGCGATCCATGCGGTTGTCAGATTGTGGTCCCCGATTCTCAGCAGCCATGAAGTGCAGCCTTCGGTAGGCTCTGTAAACTCTGAGCATCCCTGCTGTAGAACCATTAATTAACATTAAATGACATATTACATGAAGTGCCCACTTCATCCACAGGTTTCTCCTCTGTTTAGTAATATTGTTAAGGTGTTGCAATTACTACTAGGTGAAAAAGAATGAGAGCTTTTCCTGACATGTAGATCCCAAATTTCTACCTGGGGGCTTGAATCTTGGACTAGGATCTGTGTGTGTCTTTTTAAGCATCACTGGGTAATGAGGAGATATTGTCCTTAAAGAAAAAGAGACATTGCTGGGAAGATGGACAGGTACATAATCCAAGTACACAGAACAAGAGCCCATATCTCCTGTGATTGCTTTTGCAGGATCACATGGTACGGGATGAAACTAGAAGCCTCACCCCGAAGCAGTGTGCTGTCATGGATCTGGCACTGGATACAATTAAGGTACATCAGGGTAGGAAGGGGGTACAGTACATTACATTTTTGCACATGGAAAATACCAATTTCACTACAGATTTGTTTGAAAATTTAACTTTTACTTTTGAATGCAGTGATGCTGCGTAACTTTTATTTTCTTTTGAGGTATGTTCATACTGTAATTTGCTGCAAATATGGCAAAGAAAAGATCTGAGGTAAATGCTTGTTGCGCTAAACAGTATACTAGTCAGCATTAGACTAGACAAGCTGTGCGTGACCTTCTCATAAACTAAAGGGATTCTAGTTATCTTTTAAGAATAATCACAAATTTTGTTCCCAAAGGAGGGTTTGTTTTCTCAATATTACTGTTTGGCACCACCTAAAAGAAAAAAGTACCACCATGGTAGTATCGTCGTGCCGATGGAAAAGGAAGATGGAATTCCTGTTTTTTTGTCTGTTGACAAATTAAGAAATAGAGGATTCTGAACAAAACAACACAAGAAATGACTTTTTTTTGGCAGGGGAGAGATCTGAGTTTTACAACTTCATGCTCTCTGCTCTCTCTGTCCTGCAGCAATATTTCCATGCAGGAGGCAATGGCCTGAAGAAGACATTCCTGGAGAAGAGCCCAGAGCTGCAGTCACTGCGCTACGCTCTGTCCCTCTACACGCAGACCACAGACACACTCATCAAGACCTTCGTCCAGACCCAGACTGCTCAGGGTAAGACCCGTGCTCCGTCCCACTCCTGTTGTTCAAGAGCCTTTCCAGAGAAGGAGATGTGGTAACTTGGAGGAACTGCAATGCATGTTGCTCAGTTCCGCGAGCAAACCCTGTGAGGTCAAAAATAAAAGAAGCTGAGGGAAAAGAAATGACAAGAAAGTTTTACAAAGATGAAGGCAACACTTGTCAATGTCAGACTAAGCTGTGCTGTATGTGAGAATTTCTAAAGCCTTGTGTGAAATTTGGGACTTTTAACCAGCTCTTTTCATCTGATCTGAGTATTTTGCCATCATCTCCAGAAATTCTAACTGAACTGAAAGGCTTATACTACATGTGCACTTTGATTCTGCTTGTTTCTGTCTACTTCAGCATACAAAAACATGACTTTTTTCCTATTGGATGTTGTGTTTGGTTAACACGCTATATTTTAACCCTAGGTTGCCAGCTCATCAAAAATCTGAACATTCATCCAATTTCTTAACAACATTATTCAGTATAGGGTCGCAGAGGAGATCCAAACTGTGTTTTAATAATATCTGTCTGTCAACTCTGACTGTTCACCATTTTTCGTATCGTTCAGATTATTATGGTAAGATTACATGAGAGCATCATCCCTGTACTCCTGGAATCAACACTGGAATGGGTGTTAGCAAGACTCAGAGCAATGACTTAAGCACTCCATTGAGTCATTGAGAGTGTTAGTTGGCGTCTCCTAGCCTACTGTATGTACAGTACTTTAACTTGGCATGTGTTTTTTATTCTTTTGTTACTTTATCTGTTTTGTTTCTCCTTTTATTCTTGCCTTACTTCTCCTACCAGTTCATAATGGAAAGGGTATAAGATTTACTGCTAACGAGGATGTGCGTCCAGACAAGGGTATGTTTGGGGCTGATGATGTGTCCTGAAAGAGACAACATTGCAGCCAGACCACGAGCCCCCAGTTTCCCTTCCCTCACCTCCCTTATCTCTCCATAGGACCCATCTACCATTGTGAATGACATGGTACCCCTCCACTAACAATCCCTCTCACCTAATTAGTTCAATAAAGCTGTATTGCGAGTGGCACAAATTGAGATTAAATAGCTACTCAATTACATATTACATTGTTGTTAAATGATGCTTTATTACTTTCAATTAACATTTAACAAACAACAAAATTGACAGAATGATGGCAGTAATAATAGCATTAAAAGAGATTACCTTATATAGTACATGTTACGTATTTGTGTCTGTTTCAGTTAAGGTTTACATTTGACTAATCTGAGTCAGACGTTTCACCATTTAACAGTTCATTAATAAGAGCAAACTGGATTAAGGGAGATGGATGCCCCTTTCACCTTGTTTTCTTTTTCTGAAAACTCCACCATCATTACTCCACTACTTAACCATTATTGAAAAGTAGCAATGCATCAGTACAAATACAATTAATATGCAATTGCATAATGTTAATGTTGGTCACACAAAGTGTTATTGAAGTGTCTTCTGAAACAGCCCTTCAGGTATAACCAATAAAGGTTAAAGTGTTTAAGGACGAAAGTTTTAATATGCCAGTTACTTTACTAATCAAATTCTGTTAAATATTACAAAGCTCATATAAATGTCTTATTTATATGAAAGTACATTGGGTTTAATATTAAAAGGAATAGAAGAAAACAGCTCTACCAGCTCCCTGGGTTACATAAGAGTTCGGTTTTGCAAGTCTTTACACGACACAAAGTTTAGGTAGAGACGGAAGCCAGATTTTACAGAAGTTCTTAGCCATTGTGTGAAGACGTTTCGAGAATTACCATCCGTGACATTGCAGCGACCCTTTCCTGCCCTGGCTGTGTCTGCGAGTGAGGAAAGAGGAACAGGGGAGCAGAACTGCAGCCTCATAATAACCATTATTGTCCTTTAACGGTTAAGAGGTGTGTGCGCTGATCAGGGGGAGGAGGGCCGAGGGCGAGAGAGAGAGAGTAGCAGTCGATGAGGTACAGTAGAGAGAGAACAAGCGGAGACAGACATGAAGTGACAATAAACGAAAAACATTTTAAAACTCTTTAATTACGTTCATTAAACACCAAAAATGACATACATTTAAAAATGTACAGCATACTGATTTTTAGTTTCACGACCCTGCAGTTATACTTTTCAGTAATTAAATTCAACATAAAGTAGTAGACGATAAAAATAATAAACCCACTTGGGTGCTTCCCTGGCTTGACTGCAATAAGGGTTGATTACAGCTTTTTCAGTGAAAAAGCTTAAAATGACCTGAGGCGGTTACCGTACGTGTGAAACTGAAGTGTAAAGCAGAGCCCTGCTGGAGAGTACATCAAATTTACTCAAGGAGCTTTCCATACTGCTTGCTTTCTATGTTTGTAATGTACAGTGCTATAAAGGTACAAGTACAGGTTTATTCTATTCTGAAAAGAGACTCAACGTTTCGGCTGTGGAGCCTTCTTCGGGTGTGTGACACCTCGGGCGTGAGAAACGTGTCTCTTTTCTTCTTTTTTCAGCATGGATTAAACCTTTATTTGTTCCTTTGCAGCCTACGCATGCTGGCGCAGCTGCATACTTGAACTACTACAGTGCTATAAACTTTCCATAACACAAGAATTTTATAATATAACCCACAGGAGGTTTTTACTTCACTGTCAAATCGAGTTTACACAAGTCGACTCTTGCCTAACTCAGTGAGATTGGTGTACATCAAAATTGAGGTGGGGAAAATTTGAATTAAAATGCATTTAAGAACCAATTTGAGACTTGGTTTAAGTATATATATTTTTAAAAATTTAGATGTGTTTTAGCATTTGTGAAAGAATAGAAAAGACAAGGACTGAGGAAGTAAAGCTTAGGGAAAAATTGAAAATGGAATAGGACATAAACAAAACAAGCAGAAAAGGGGAAGGTCATTATGCAGTAAATAGATGTGAAAACAGAGTCGAATGAAGAAAACAGAAAAATGCTTAAATCACTAATGGAGTTTGTCACTGTTGTTGGTAACTGTATTTCACTGACTTACTGATAGAGAATGTTACTGCACAGGAATTAAGCACAAATGCTTACTGCATGTAGCACAAAAGAGGTCTTTTGTTAAATGATAAGGTAATGAGATGCATGCCTGTATGTTTTTATAAGTGTGCTGTTTCACATCAAAGCCTGGACTACAATTTGACTAGAAAGGTTTTTTTAATTGTGTGCCTTGGTAACGATGGAAGAGAAACCGCTTTATGCACAGTATGTTTTGTATATTAAGATCCAGGGTGTGTATAACCCCTAAAGATTAGTTTGAGTAATCTTTCTGTGAGACTTAGAAACTACCAAAGCTGTACAGTTTTAAAAATCTCCCCACCTCTTGAACAAAACTGTACCTTATAAGCATACACCTTTCCTGCCTCACCTGTAAATGTAAAGCTGTTTGAATGACCTGTCTACAAAGAGCATGTCTGTTTTGTCACACCTACAAACACCCTTCCAGTGCTCAGCCTTCAAGCATGCTGACAGAGTCGGTGTGGAACAGGCTGGTCAGTCACGTGGAGTAGGGGCAGTCTTTTTGTAAATGCTTTTAGAAGGCAGCATACTGTTTAGTAACTCAAAGAAAGTCTCAGGAGATATACAGTATAGTATTTTAGCATGGGCCTGAGGGCTGGTTGGATTTTTCCTGGCCTCTCTCTTCTTGAAGATGTCTTCATCAGCAACAAGGGTGCAGTGAGTGTGAATAAAGAATCGACATCCCTCTGTCAGGTTGGGAAAAGGGATCAGAGAGTGAAGTCACTGTTTTAGGACACGGGACATAACTAGATTCTCATTTCCACAGTAGGCTGGTAGAGTACACAAACCCTAATTCTAGGACAGCTGAGCGCAAGAAAAAAACATCTATAGCAAATAAAGGAGGATCGTGGAGTGTATTGGAGTTTATAGAATTCAAGCAGCATTCTAGTAGCTTTCAGTACTCTTAAAACTCTCCCCTCAAAGAAACAATCAGGACCAGGTCAGTTTACTGTGACTTGGCTTCATTGTTTTACAGCAGGGCTGTGAATATACAGTATAAAGCTTTGCTTTCTGAGTGTATACAGTATGTGCAAGTGTGCATATTTCAATACATCTGGGTGTTCCAACATAGACTCTCCAACACTGGGACCATGTTAGACCAATGAGGCATAGCTCCAGTCCTTGAGAGCCACAACCCGGCAGGTTTTATGGATTTCTGTGAGCTACCACCAGTTTATGGTGGTGGTGCACGGGTACTCAGGTGGGGCAACACTCAGAAGACACTGTGGCCCTGGAGGAGTGAAAACAGTGGCCTTGTGACTCTGAGGGGTAGAGTAGGTGAATGTCGCAGAAGCATGCTGGACTGGATGCACACCTTGCCTGCTGTAATGTTACACCGTGGCTATAGATGGATGCCAGGGGAGGCTGCTATTCTGATAAGGCTGTCCTGACGATGTCTTGTCCATGAACTACAGGGTCGGGAGTCGATGACCCAGTGGGGGAGGTGTCCATACAGGTGGATCTGTTCACACATCCAGGGACAGGAGAGCACAAGGTCACAGTGAAAGGTGAGCCAGCAGACAGGTAACAAGTGTCTAGGGTGTGTGCCTTGTAAAGATCCAATTCCTGTGCAATAATGTGCCTTTTCAATAGGGGAAATCTACAACAACTTTCAGTATGTTGGTTGGCATCGTGAGATTTGATTCAATGCATTCTATGTTTCTTACATGTGACGAAATCGTGGCCAAAAGTTGGTATCCCCATGATAAGTCATTTGTAAATCTGCTGCTGTTAATAACCCATTGTGAAATGTGGCTAACGTTTAATAGCCTGTATAGCCTTTCCAAAGCCAGGTAGGTTGTGCTTCCTAAACTGAATTAACTAAAGGCTGAATTATTTTTTATATTGATTCATTTTCAGAAGTAAATTGTGGCAGCGGTAATACTGTCTTGTAGCCTGATCTTAGAAACTAAGCTAGGCCAGGCCTATTCGTTACTGGAACGGGACTTAGTGAGCAGTGTTGCTTTTTGAGCCATCAATGTTACCTCTTATGATAATTGTGAAGCACAGCTAAAAACCAGTGTTGGATTGTTCACCCAACAACCGCTAATTTGAGCTAGGATTAGACCATCATGAGAAAGGTTCGTTTTACCCTACTGTTGATTTACTGTATTGCTTCAGTAGTAATCTTTCTCGGTACGAGAGGAACCACTGCTAACGTCATCTGGTGTCTGTGCTTGGCTGAGGAGCCAATGTTGTGAAGTTACCAGCTGTGGGGTTCAGACTGAATGCCTCTACTCCAGAATTCCCTCTTAAAAGGTTTTAATCACAATTTCAAGGAAATCCAAGTTGCTGCCACAAAAGGCTTTAGTGGACACATAAGTGGTGCTTTTTCTTCTGTACCAGAAGGACCAAACTAATGCCCCTGCTGGGTGTATGGAGACATAAGGTGGAACTGTAGGGGAGCTGAGCTGGCTTAATTACACTCTGGGCTTGTACAGTCTAGCTTA